AAAGGATGAATGTAACACGGTGATGTGAAGAAGTCCCCAACGATTAAAGTTCAAGTTTATTGAGAGCAAATCGTTTTTCTTTTTTATTCCAGTGGTGAATGTTATTTCAGGCCATTATTTAATTGAAAATTCTGTGCAAATATCGAAGCAATCCACATACACAAGATATTTAATAACACATTGAACACTTTTATCAAATTAAAACCAAAAGAGAAAAGTGAAAAAAGTGTTAAATTAAAAAATTACAACAATGCTGTGAATTTTTAAGAAGTGTTCATGGAAATGCAAAATAGTTAATAATCAAACAAAGCAAAGCTGTTATTTAATAATTTAATCAAACCAATTCGAGCATTTAAGTAACTTTTAAATCAAAAGCTGTGTCATTTTCTAATTAATTATAAGAAATATAATTTAATCAATCCAATCCAAGCAGTCAATTAGCAGCCGCACAAAAAATTTGCGCTAATTTCATATTGGCCTACGGCAAGCCAAGAAGTTGGTCATTTGCCATGGGCAATTTATGACATGCCAGTGGGGTAAGAAGTAATTTATTAATTTATATATACCATAAAGATAAAGATTCAGTCAATTAAAGTTGCGAGCACGTACTACTTCTACATATTAAGAGCCCCCCGTAGTAATTAGGAATGCGCATTATTCTTCAGCGATGCACTCGCTGCACAAAACTAAGAAGCAAACAAGCAAATTAAATAATAACTATTTATACAATGACCCAATAACAGGCAATTATAATGCATATGGAGCAGGCCACACAGTTGAACAATCCCGAAACCCAAAACTAAACTCAACTCAACGCACCCAGCCAGGCGAATAAATTTCGTTTTAGTATTCTAAGCCATGTTACTGGGCATTGGGAGAGTGCTAGTGTGCGACATAAACTATTGCTAAATGAAAACATTTATAGTTTCATTTAATGGCTCAGTGTTTCGCTTTGTCGACGGACAACGGACAGCGGACAACGGACAGCGGACGACAGGCATTAAATCATTTTAAAAGTGCTTGCAAATAATTGAATTTGTTATTGCGAAAATGCTCGCACAAATCTTGTCTGCCATGTCTTTGTCTTTACAGTGTGTGGTGCCTATAAGGGATAGGGGAAAATTCTTAAGGAGAGCAGGAAAAACTTCTTAAGAATTAAGAAAATTCCAAAAATTCGAACTAGAAAACTAATTTAAATACGAAATAAAAACCAATTCTGCTTGACTTGTAAATTGCAAATCTAATCTGTGTCTTTCTACTTTAATTGTTTTTGTGTCTTGGTTATTAATATTAATTGAAAAGTGTCATTTGTGAAATTTAAATTTGCATAGCATAGTTCGCATACAGAAGTTAAGACAAGTTGAGTTATATCCCTCCTTGATTAGATTCGTTAATTTATTCATTTATCAATTGAGAAAATTCAATTTTTCACTTAAGATTTTACTTTGGTTTCTTGCTGTTTGTTGGTATTAAAATTTATTTTATTTTTTTGAAATTATTAACATATTAAGCCTGATAAAGTCATTTATTCGTGGATGCAATGGAATCTGGAACTTAAATTTTACTAATTTTAAAGTTCAATTTAACTTTATAGTTCCAAAACTTACAAATTAATATTTTAATCTGCCTTAAAAACGCCTCTAGTTTTCCCACCCGATTTCCACTGTAAAGTCAAGTCACATAACGGCATCTAGTGAAGCAGAACACAACGGCTAAATGCCTGCAGCATTCGCATCGTTTCTCGACCTTCCGCCTTCTTTCCTCCTCTCGGCGGGTCCTTTTGTCTTGTCCTTTGCTCGTTGCTCCTTGGTCCTGAAAATGTTCACAATCCTCCCACGCAGTTAGCAGCGCTCATTCATGCATTCTGACTTGTATTGTAGAACACACACACACATATGTATACACATATACATATATATGTATCTGAAAGATATATACTTCACACTTGGCGAACGCGACCGTGACGCTAACAGCATCAAAGACTAAAACAACAATGACAAAGGCCATTGTTGTTGTCTTTGCCATTGTCGTCGTCACTTAATATACAAATTTCAGTAAATATTTTTCACACACACACACACAGATGCACAAGGAGTGCAATTTCCGCGAGTTGCATTCGCCCAGAACATGACTTTCTCTTCACCCCACCAAGCCATTTCCCATTTTCATTTTCTGTTCGGAGTTCCTTGGGCAACAATTCGTTCAATTTCATGCAATCAAGTTATTTTAATTCATTACCCTTACGCGACCAACACTTGGAAGACATGCTCGCAACACCATCAGACACACACTCACTCACCCCCTCACACTCTTCGAGGAGTATTCCCCTTCAAAGCCCCTCCAAAACCTCCCTGCAAGTGCATGTGCATTTTGCCTTGCGACACTTGACATTTACATACACAAAGGTTTGAGCACTGAGGAAAGGTTTAAGTCATTTGTTACTATTTCAGGAGAAATTAAAAATCACTTTTTTATAATTAATCAAGCCTTTTTAATAGAAGCTAACAAATAAATTTCATATATTCTAAGAGGAAATAAATCTTTAAAAATCGGAAAACATTTTTATTACTATACTATTACGCCAGTTTAAACATATTGCTAAAAGTTTATTAATCATCAAGTTTTTAGCAATCCCTAACCAATTCCAGTTCCTTTTTTTTCAGTGCACTATTTGCATGTGTTTATACTGCACACACACTCACATACACACCAAGGAATATAGAGCCTCACGCACGACTATCAAAATGTCAGACATCTGTCATTTAATTTAATTTGACTTCACTTTGCTTTCATTTGCCCTCCCCCATTTTTACGCCCAGCCTTGTGCGCTTTCTTTTCCCGCTGTCTTCTGCTTCTTTTTTTTACCACCCTATAGCTGAATATATATGTATATGTGTATGTGCTATATAGAGCAGGAGGCGTCGACGTTGAACACAAAACGTGTAATTTAGCGGGAGGTGTTTGAAGAAGGTGCAAGGAAGGGGATTCCCTCAGGCTGCTGTTATTACTTAGTTTGGTTGTTGTTGTGTTCCTGCATAGTTGTTGTACTAGTTTGTCTTTGTTGTTATTATTATTGTTTTTGTTGTTACGTGCAACGTACGCGAGCTCAATTTAAATCGCTTTGCGTTTGCTGTGGAAACGGTAAAAAGCATGGAGAAAATGGCCAAGAGAGCGGGAGGAAAATGCGAAAAGTTTCGCGGAAAATGCATCGATCAATGAATACCCTTAATGGGGTTAGTAAAAAATTGCAAGGGCTTAAATAAATGGTTGAGTGGTGGCAGGATATAGTGAATGATTGAATTAAAGAAATTCGCCGGAGAGTTTTTTGATATCGGTGAGCTGATAAATGGCTTAAATTTCCAATAAAAAGGAAGAGGTCATGAGATTAATGTTGATTCAATTTTTGATTGGATAAACAATATCATATTGAGTTATACCAGAAATTTATTCAACTGCTAACTTCTGTTTATGTCTTCTGTTATGATTTTTATATCCATCATCCATTTATTAATTTTAAATTTATTGCTAGTTCATTGGAAATTAAAATACAAGCTGGACGAGTTATAACATTCCGTATTTGGATCATTTTTGGCTTTGTTATGGACAAAACATTGAAGTTTAGGGGTAAAAATCAAAATGGACAATAATTGACTTATTCAGATTTCAATGCAATTTTAATGTACATTAAATTTCGAGCTCAACGAGGTATTACATTCCATATTTGGACCATATTTGACGTTGCTGAAGGAAATTTACTAACGTATTAGCGTAAAATCAAAATTATGACTTTTGAGTAAAATTTGCAATATTTTTTACCAGCATTATGCTTATAACTTTGTCAAAATAAGACGCACAGCGATAATGAGGATTGTTTTGTGCAGCTAACGACCCGTACAAACTTCTGTGTAATTTGTATGCTGATTATCAAGAAATTAAATTTTCTCAAATTTTGCAATTTTTATAAGGCGTACCATCATCCTTTTTTCGAAAAATCGTAAAAATATTTTTTTCTTCACATTTTAATAACAGTTAAATATTTTGAAAAGAGATAAAAAGACAAGCTCAACGAAGTATGACACTACGTATTTCGACCATTTTTGGCTTTGTAATGAAGAAAATACCGATATTTTGAGACACAAATCGGGACAGACCGATTTTCGCGTTTTTTGAAAAGGATAAGATTTTACGAAAAATCTGAAAAAATTCACTTTTTGAGTGTGGTACACAGTTCGACGAGGAATTTAAAAACGAACTCAACGAGACATTCCATGATACGATCATATTTGGCTTTGTAATGAGGAAAATACTGATATTTTGAGACACAAATCGGGACAGAGCGATTTTTGTATTTTTGGAAAGGGGTAACATCATAAAATTTTACGAAAAATCTGAAAAAACTCACTTTTTGAGTGTGGTACACAGTTCGACGGGGAATTTAAATACGAACTCAACGAGATATAACATTCCATGATACGATGATCCTTGGCGGTGTAGTAAAGAAAATACTGATATTTTAGGCGGCAAATCAAAATTATGGTTTTTTAATAAAATTCTCGATATTTTCCCCCAGTGTTATGCTTATAACTTCGTCAATTTAAGAGGCACAACAAAAAGGAAGACTGTTTTATGAAGCTAACGACCAAAACAAACTTTCTGTATCACTAAGATGATGATTATCAAAAGTTTATTTTTTCTCAAATTTTGAATTTTTTATAAGGGGTACCATCATCATTTTTTCGAAAAATTGATAAAATATTTTTTGTTCTAGATTTCAGTGCTACTTGAATATTTTGAATATAGATTAAAATACAAGCTCAACGAGGTATTACATTCCACATTCCGACCATTATTGGCTAAGTTATTGGCATAGACAGTATTATGTTGAGGTGAAAATCTAAGATAACAAATTTTCTCATAAACTTGGATTTACTTGAAAACCATAGCCTTAACATACCTACCCGCTAGAAAAAGAGTATCTGAGAAAACAACTTCGCTGGATTTGCATAGGAAATTTTATTTCTTTGAGCTAAAACTAAACTAGACGACGGAAAGGCACACATCATTTGCTAATGCTAAGCTAAAACTAATTAAAGCCTGAGGGAAGTCTTAATATCCTTTTTCACTCAACCTCTCCTCTCCTGATGCTTGGCAATGGCTTTTAGTTGCTTGTTCCGGTGCTTAAGTTTCTGCTGAAGTTGCCGCTTGAACTGGGTCTCTCTGCTTAGGATCTGCAGATCTTCTGGTGAACACGTGGAGAGGCGTTGCTTTTGCTCGGCTATCAGCTCCTTGGTAAGTTGGATCTTTGTTTTGGAGACTTGGACGTAGAGCAACTGACGACGCTGCAGCTCCTGGCGATGCAAAAATAAAGCGTAGGCGACTGATGCTTCCATGCTGGCGGCTTACTGTCGAATGATTGCCAGGCTTGAGGTTAGCTGGGTTTTTAAAGGACCTCCCCCTGTTGCAAGCATGCCTGGTCTTGTTTATCTGTTTTTTGCCTGTCCTGCGGGTTTTCTGATTTTCCGCGGCCAATCCTTTGGGGTGCCGTTGTACCTGAGTGCCGGACTTAGGTCCCAAGCCGCCTGAGCAACCACGCAGGTAACAGATGTTTTATCGGTCCAAGTTTTCTTTCCTTTCCATTCCCTCTTTTTCGGCGTGCTGGTACATTAATGCACTTTAGGCCAAAATCCTTCGCATATGGCCTTGCGGATCCCACCAGGCCAAGTTAGGCAAACTTTTGCGCTGGCCTGAACCCATGAAAGGAAAATGGGTTTTTTGAAGAAGTGGACGAAATATGCGGGGTGGTACAGAGACAAATCCAGCAAACTTCTTGGTCATGCAGCTTCATCCAATGCAATTTTTGGGCCATCCATCTAAAAGGATGGTCCACCCTCTGGACCCACTCAACGGGACAGGATGGCACGCACGTCCTGGACAGCCCGGCATGTGCATCAATAATTTTTGCCAGCATTCGGCTTCACTGTGGGAAAATTCTATACAGTATGATGAATGGAATGCGATATTAATGATATTAAATTATTATCATTTAAAGCGTTAATTAAATTTGAAATATAAATTATTTCAGCACTTTGTTACGTTAATATATTATATATATTAAAGAAAAATGTATAAATATTGGATCATCATTACTTCTACGAGTAAAAATCAACAAAAACAAATTTGATTTCTGAAGTTTTAATGAACTTAGCCAATGTCTTTTGATTTTTCCCTAAGATTCCCTAACTTTCAAACTCTTTTCTCCGTGCTGACCCGGCCTAAGACCCGGACCCGAACCCGGAACCCGGAACCCGATCCGGACCCAGACCCGTGTCTAATGCCACACCAACACTTTGAGGTTTATTAATTCGCATGAACTCTGTCCGGCAGCTCGACCCTGCGTTCATTTTTCATGCTGCTCGGGCAACAAAAGCCACAATTAAAAATTGCTTATGAACGGAAATGGCAGACAAAAAACGAGAAGGAGAAGTGCCTCCTGTGTGAGAAGCTGAGCCAACTTTCGGTATAAACCATAATCTGAGCCATGGGAAGCTCTCAAAGTTTTTCTGGGGCAGTAGCGGGGGATGTGTATGAAAAACTTAATTTCCTATTTCCTTTTTAGTTTCCGCTCACTTCTATATCTCTCCTTCACCATTTAGTGTAAACTGTGCGCATCATTATTTTGAAATTTTTGACACTTTTTTCGCTTGATGGTGCTAAGCTACTTGTAAATCAACCCAAGCTCATGCGTCTTCTTCTAGCTAGTGTCTTATATATAGGTTGTTATCTATGTGTGTGTCACATTTCCGGCGGAAGTGAAAGCAGAAAACTTGGTTCGTTTTCCTCTTCGCTAAATGGCATCAAGAAATGCAGCATCGTCGCCTCTGCGGAACAGAGACATTGACTGATGATGATGAGCACGATGATGTAAATGGGATTTTAGTGCCGCACATGACAATAGTAAACTTCTTTAGCAGCCGGAATCATAAGCTCTGATGTCTCTGTTCAGATCTGCTCACAGCTCTTGTGACATGCAAGTAAATTGCCTTGGTAAATTTATTGTGCAATTACAAGGAAATCTAATGAACAAAAGTGAGGATGGGGGCGGGAAAAATGTCCCAAAATAGGATAGAGCCACTAAATCTTGTCTACAGAAAAAGGGATTTCGGTATCTTAAGAAGTTTTATAGGAGAATAAAAGTGGTTTATAGGGACTCTATATATATTTCTTTATTTTTAAGAATTTAAGCTTAAGGAAAATCATAATTTTCTAAACATATTTTCTTTTCTTCTTCTTTCCAGTTCACAAGGAAAACTAAGCCATTGCCTGACCTCCGTCCTCGAAATGGCATTCCCTTATATCCTGGCAGTTCTGCCCCTCATTTGCACCGCCTCAGCTCTCAGCCTGCCAAACATGACCGCAACGGATGCAGCGGTTGCCGGTGGTGGGATTTCGCCAATCCTCGTTGCAGGAAATCCCAGCAATCTAGGGAGCAGCAATATAAGCCTGAGCGGAGGCGGCGGATTGGCCGGCAGTAATCCCGGCGGGCAGGCAGTACAAGATTCAGGGGGCGGTACCTCTTTAGGCGGCTTGCCAGCGGGTGGCAGCAGCGGTGCCGGAGGCAGTGGCAGCAACAGCGGTGTCAGCGGCAGCGGCAACAACTCTGTTATGATCCAAGGGCAAAAGAGCAACCAGTATGAAAAGTGTGCAGGTCCCGGGGATCCGGGTCCCTGCAAGCAGTACATCTACAAGTGGCGCTACGAGCCAACCACCAACGAGTGCACCAACTTCATTTGGGGCGGTTGTGAAGGAAATCCGCAGAACCGCTTTGGCACCGAGGCGGAGTGCCTGTTCCACTGCATCGGCGGACCACGTAAGAATAGTTAATGAAATCTGTTAAATATATTTTTTAGATAAATATTTACTAATCTGATTTAGAAATATATTTTCAAAGCACTTTTTTGCAATTTTACAAGTGATTTATTATCACTGGAAATTCTGGTTACCCTTCAACTATCCCGTCTAAAAGTTAATATCTATAATTAATCCTGACAAATATGCAATTAGAGAATAAATAATTTAAATTCCTCAATAAGCTAAATTGTAATTAAACACATCACATACAAAAATATTAAACTAAACATAAGTTAGAACCATTACTAAGGCTCTAAGAAGTGAAGCGCCATAAATTTAATGTCATTATTTCCACTGAACATTGTTGCCTTTAACCAAAACATAATAAAATGTGTTACGTAAATACTAAAATCATAATTATAATGCTATTTAGACATTTTCGCTGATTAATTTTCGTACCTCTAGCGACCCAATCATAATCCCAATTGACATCCCATCTTTTGCAGACACTCTGCCACCTTTTCTGCAATCTACCACCCGTGAACCCAGCACCACGGAGAGTTCCATGCTTCTTGGTTCACCGTACACCCAAAGTCCGGCACAAGCACCGGACGGAATGGGCGGAGCTGAGGGCGGAGACGGGACTACGCCCGTGCCCATCGAACAGCGCGGCCCCGAGCTGACTTTCGCGGAGACGGGCCAAGGCAAAACTTTCATTTTCGCCAAGAACAACACGTTCATCCAAATGGACGGCGACATCATACAGACATTTCAATTAAGGTGAGTGGACTGGGAGTGCTGCGGGGTCCACTGACCACCTGGCAGGTGGCAGGCTCGGGTCCTTTGCATGCCACTTCAGCTCGCCAATCTGCAACGGTCGCGTCATTTAGCGGATTGTTGGCCTTTTGGCTTGATTCGTTTAACCCCAGAAAGGTTAAGGGAATGTTTTGGTTCATGCATTCAATTTAATGAATTTTATACTAAGATACTAATGGTATTTCTATCTAAACTTGAAATCTTTTAAAAGGCATGCCCAAAGTCAAGACCCTAAAATGCTTTTCATGTACCCCAATCTTCTTTGAAATTTCGACATAGAAAACAATTAAATCTGGCATTTGATTGAGCGGTAATAAAAGTGAAAAAACCTATGAAACTATGTCTAAAAAAATACTTAAGCTTTTTATAGGATAACTCGTTACCATGGGGTGTTAATGGTGAGTGCTGCGTGCAAGAGCAATTAGCCAAACTGACGTTGCCTTTACAGTTTGAAAATTGATTTTCTCTCAACAATTTTCTTGGGGGACTGCAATCTTATCGGTAGCTTACACAAAACAATCAAAAGAGAGAAGCTGGAAAGGCAGAAACAAAAAAGCATCTCGAAAACCAGGTCAAAAGTTAATTTTCTGCTCAATTGCCAAAAACCTTTCGGCTCATGTTGTGACATCTAAATGGTCCAAAACGACTTCTGGCCAAGATCTTTCTGGGGCTTGTTAAATTTAAAATTCAATTTGCCAAGAAACATTTGACATTTGCATATTAAATTAAGATAAAAAAATATTATTTAAATGCCGAACAGTATATGTGCAGATGTTGGGCAAACATGTAGACAGTCAGGCAAATAAAATTAAACATAACTTTGCCAAATAGAAGTTCTACTTGTTATCGTTGCTGCCGCTGGTCAGTGGCTTTTACGTACTTGGCCAACTTGGCAATTTGTGCTGTAGTTTTAATTGTAACTCATGTGGCTGCCGACAGCAGGAGCAGTAGCAGGAGCAGGAGCTGGACAAACAACAGCAATGGCAACAGCAGTCAAGAGCAAAGAACAAATAAATTTAAAACTCTGTCAGCCAAGCACAACGCTCTTCACATATATGCTAATGAGTGTGGCCAACTTGGCTATTTTATGGCCAAAATTTAGGGCTCTTCTTATACTTTTTGATGCTTTTATAAAGGATTTCGAAGCTCAAGTGTTTCTTGTATTTCACTTCCATTATAAACGAATATTTAAAAGCAGGAAAGAGATAAGATCTAAAAAAATACCATTATATCGCTTATAAATCCTATAATGAGAAGACAAAAACCACTTTAAATGAGCCAAAGCCCTACAAATGCCAAATTGAGCTACTTTTTTGAGCACACATTTGCAACACTAATGCTAATGCACTAACCGCTCTACGTCTTTCTGTCTTTGCAGACTTTGCCGTGAGATTTCATTTCAATTCCGCACCCGACTGCCGCACGGCCTGCTCGTCTATCACAACGTTAAGAATCCGGATCGCATTATTTTGGACCCCTATGCACTCTATGTGATTGTGGAGAAGGGCCAGCTGAAGGTGGTCCATGTCTTTGGCAAGCATTCAACGAGTGTCACAGTGGGCGAGAGTCTAAATCGAGATGAATGGCACAGTGTGATGGTGAGTGTGTATGTTTGAATGTGGATGTGGATGTTTCCCCGAAAAACGGGGTCAAGTCTGGCAGGAGTCCTCAAAAGAAGAAAACCCGGTCGAATGCAGTAATCCTGCGGGGCTATCAGACTTCCGGTGGACTT